CCAGTTTTTCCCATCCCTGCACCCCACCTCTCATCTGGCAACTACCACAATGTTCTCTGTATCTATGAATCTGTTTCTGTTCTGATTGTTTATTTTGATTTTTACATTCAATTGTTGATAGATATGTATTTATTGCCATTTTATTCATATTTTTTATCTTTTTTTTCCTTTTTCTTCTTTAAGAAGACCCTTTAACATTTCATGTAATGCTGGTTTGGTGGTGATGAACTCCTTTAGTTTTTTTCTTGTCTGTGAAGGTCTTTATCTGACCTTCAATTCTAAATGATAGCTTTGCTGGGTAGAGTAATCTTGTTTGTAGATCTTTGCGATTGTCACTTTGACTATTTCTTGCTACTCCCTTCTGGACTGCAAAGTTTCTTGAGAAATCAGCTGACAGCCCTAACTGGTTTGGCTCGGTGGATAGAGCATTGGCGTGCAGACTGAAGGGTCCCAGGTTTGATTCCGGTCAAGGGCATGTACCTTGGTTGTGGACACAACCCCCACAGTGGGGAGTGTGCAGGAGGCAGCTGATCGATGTTTCTCTCTCATCAATGTTTCTAACTCTTTATCCCTCTCCCTTCCTCTCTGTAAAAAATCAATAGAATATATATTTTTTTAAAAAAATCAACTGACAGTCCTGTGGGTGCTCCCTCATAGGTAACTGACTGCTTTTCTCTTGCTTCTTTTAAGATTCTGTCTTGGTCTTTAACCTTTGGCATTTTAATTATGATGTGCGTTGGTGTGGGTCTCTCTGGGTTCATCTTGTTTGGAACTCTTTGTGCTTCCTGGATTTGTGTGTCTATTTTACCAGATAAGGGAAGTTTTTGTTTTTGTTTTTAAATAAATTTTATTGATTTTTTACAGAGAGGAAGGGAGAAGGATGGAGAGTTAGAAACATCGATGAGAGAGAAACATCGATCAGCTGCCTCCTGCACACTCCCCACTGGGGATGTGCCCGCAATTAAGGTACATGTCCTTGACCAGAATCGAACCTGGGACCCTTGAGTCCACAGGCTAACGCTCTATCCACTGAGCCAAACCAGTTAGGGCTAGGGAAGTTTTCTGTCATTTTTTTTTTAATAGGTTTTCAATTTTTTGCTCCCTCTCTTCTCCTTCGGGTACCCCCATAATGTGAATGTTGGTATGCTTGAAGTTGTCCCAGGAGCTCTTTACACTATTTTCATATTGGATTATTTTTTCTTTCTGCTCTTCTGATTGGTGGTGGTGGTGGTCTTTTTTGCTTCCTCATATTCCAAATTGCTGACTTGATTCTCAACGTCCTCTACTCTATTGTTGACTCCCTGTAAATTATTTTTCATTTCAGCTAATGTATTCTTCATTTCTGAATGGTCCTTTTTTATGTTGCCGATGTTCTCACTAAGTTCCTTGAAGTTCTCACTAGGTTCCTTGAGCATCCTTACAACTATTGTTTTGAATTCTGTATCTGGTAGTTAGCTTGCTTCCATTTCATTTAGTTCTTTTTCTGTAGATATTCTCTTCTTTTGTTTGCAACATGTTTCTTTGTCTCCACATTTTGGCTGCTTCCCTGTATTTGTTTCTATGTATTAGGTAGAGCTGCTTTGTCTCCTGGAATTGGTAGAGTCTCCTTGTGTAGTAGGTGTCCTATATTGCCCAGTGGCTCAGCCTCCCCAGTCACCTGAGCTCAGCACTCTAGGTGCATCCCTGTGTGGGCTCTTTGCACTGTTCTGTTGTAGTTAAGCCTTAATTGCTGTTGGCATCACTGGAAGGGATTGACCTCTAGGCTAAACAGCTGTGAGGACCAGCTGTGACTACAGCTTAAGAGCTAGTGTGCAGGAGACACCCCCTATGGAGCAGGACTTGTTTCATTGTGGCTTTGGTGCTTACCAAATGCATCCCTTGAATGTGTCGCTCATGGATGTGGTAGGGTTGTAATCTGGTTTGGTCTTAATCTGACCACTGAGTGCACTGGCTCTAGGACCTCCTGGTAGGTTCAAAGTCAGCTATTGCCTGTTCCCTGCTTGGCGAACCTCCACACACCCCCACTACCCCCAGTCGAGAGCTACAGAACGATCTGTAGATTGCTGCTACCTGTTTTGGGCTTGGAGGTGCCCAGGAGAGGCCAAGCTGTGAATCAAGGCAGGCTGCTGCTAGTGCCAGGCCTGGGCTATTTACCAAGAGGTATAGGGTATGCTAAGGCCAGCTGCTGCTTGTTTGAGAGAATTTAGGAAGCCTGAGCCATGACTGGCCATTACATGTAGAAAAGCCACTGGAAATAGCTTGGGTGGGCCTGCAAATTGGGTAGGGCCAGATCTCAGGGAATCACCATGGTGGGCAAACAGTGTGTGCCAGACTGATGGAGACTCGGATAAGGTGCCTGATTGTTGACTCTCTTGGGGAAGGGGTCATCAAAGGAATAGTGATCTCTGCCAGCACTTTTGTTTGAGAGAAATCTGTCCTCCAGTTCTTGTCCTGATGTCAGATAATTTAAGTCTTCCCCCTATGTCCCTGGATCCTTTCAAGCTGCTGCCCCAGAGCTGCAGCTCAGAGGAAGTGGGTCTGAATGAGTGCGCTGGCCCTTTTAAGAGGAACTGGCTGAGACTGTATCGTTCTTTGTTCACTCAGCCACAATCCCTGCTGGTTTTTTCAGCCTGAAGTTACGGAGACCTCTTCACAGCACTGGAACCCTGGGCTGAGGGGTCTGATGTGGGCTGGGACCCCTGGCTCCTCATGGGGGACCTACACTCAAATGCCACCTGTGGGTGTTAGACCAGCCTGTTCCACACCTCTGCTCAATGTGGCTTCTTTAATTCTCTAGTGGTAGGACTTCCATTTGGCCAGCTTTTAGGCAGTTCTGAAGGCTGTTCTGTAGTTTAGTTGTAATTCTGATGTGGTTGTGGGAGGAGGTTGAGTACCGCGTTTACCTATGCTGCAATCCTGACCTGCCCCGTGAATAACTCTTCTTAACTGAAAAGTACAACTATCATTTTCTTTTTTTCTCAGTCTTCTGTATTTTTACATTCTATTCTTTGAGCAGAAAGCGAAACTATTTTCTGTAAAGTATATGACATACTTAAACATTTTTTGAACTTGATAAAGAATTAAGTATATACTAATGATTTTTATTCAATACTTAAGAGAGTATCCTCACAAAAATTATATACTGAAAAATATTAATTTGGTTTCTGCCCTTCACTCAGCGTCTGAGCCAATAGAATTAAGTGCTGCTGTAGAAGTTGTGGAACAAGGTGTACCAGAAAAAGAAGAGTCACCACCTCCTGTTGAACCAGGCCAGTAGCATTGACTAATAAATTCTTATTAAGTAGCATTGATGGTCCTAACTGTCCTAGTTATTAGTTTGGAGAAACCAAATATCTGGCAGGGTGGCCTTTTTTTATAGTCCTTTCTAAATCATTTCTTTTTATTTCCACATTGCAAAAGTGTAGACGTGAGCCTTGAATCGATTTTTTATTTGTAGAATAAAATTTTTGTAGAGAGGATAGAGGTTTTTTACTTTCTTTCTATTGATGGGTCAGAAATCTCAGGTGGTACCAAGAAGACCTGAAGTTCTTTAATCTTTCTGAAGAAAAATTGGAAGCATTTTTAATTAGGACTTTTTAGGAGTCATAAAAGTTGCTATTTTTAAAACATTTTTAGAGGTCAGCCTCTTATTTAGTAAATCAATTCAGTTTATTCAGTGTTTGTGTTTTTAGGTTGGAGAAAGTCTCTGGCTTTCTTTTCTTCTTTTTTTTTTTAAGGTAAATATTATTCTAATTCATGAGACTAGATATTGATAGGAAGCCACAGGCTAACATAATGTATGTTTGGTAAAATCAAGACACTCTCAAGTGTTCAAAGACAGGAATGGGAGTAGAAACACTTGAGGATGTCAAGACTGACCTACCCTGGGGAAAAATATTATTGATAGTCCCTCCCTACATCCCCCCTGGTTCACATTGTAAAAAAATATCATTTGTTTGGGCACATCTTAGCATAATGAAACGAGAGAAATTCCATTTGACATGCTTATAGCAGTCCAGGATTGTAGGTGATATCTGTAGCAGTAAAAAGAATTGCTAAACTGGAAGGAGGCCTCTTTGGGCACATGTTCCTGACTGTTGTTTCCTCCTCCTTAAGATGACTTATCCAAACTTGCTGGCAAATGATGATTTTTCCAGAGAAGCAAATAATACATGTGCCCTCATCTTTTGAGAATAGTTATGCCTAATTGGATTTCAGTAAAAGTGTCATTGTTGTTAAAGGCAGTATTAAGTTCTTAATATTCAAAATAATACCTTTCTGACTGTTTTTGCGTTGTAAGCACAACATCTCTTCTAATTTTCAACATGAGTAGAGATGTAGCTTTGTACACCCAATTATGTGGTTTATGTAGTATTTGTATGTATGTATAGAGGCTAAAGAAAAATAAATTCTTATGTGTATAAAGTTTAGTTGAAAAATCAAAAAGAAGATATGTGAAATTTCATTTGTCTTCAAGAATAGAGTGTGATCATGTGCCCTAGTGTACTGGTTGGGACAAGAGTAGGTTTACAGTTATGAGTACATGAAACAGAATTTATTCTTGTACTCGAGGCCTGGTGCATGAAATTCATGCATGGGTGTGGTCCCTAGGCCTGGCCGGCGATCAAAGCCTGAGCGTCTGGTGTGGAAGGGCAGGTCCCAGCTGACCTCTGGGCCCTGGGCAGCACCTGAGACCCCAGTCCCTTGTGCCCCCAACTCTCTGCCTATATCATTGGACCCCTGCCAGGCTCCCTCAGCGTCTGGGAGCTGGGCAGCTCCCCTGCTGGTTGCCATCTGCAGGGTGATTGGTGAGGCGATTGGGCCCCACTCACACCTGCCTTGATCTGGCGCTGCCCACTCACCTGCTCCATCATTCCACCCCAGTCCTGCTCTCGTTGGCTGGTGGCACCTCCACTGCCAGTGCCACATTGCTGACACCTGCCATGTTCCGTGCTGCCCGCTGGTGGTCAGCACTTGTCATAGCAAGCAGTTAAACTCTGGGTTGAACTCCAGGTCGAGGGGACAATTTGCATATTAGGCTTTTATTATATAGGATTATTATTTAGTAATTATTGCATTTTCCATACAAACAACTATAAAACTACTTTTGCCCCAACCTGTATTCAAAATTCTAGAGAATTGTGAATCATTTAGTAATAATAAATTATAACATGATAGCTATATTGAAAATTAGTTCCAAAGATAATGACATTGTGTGTATTTTTTTTGCATAATTAAAACATTTCTTTTTAGGTCAGCGTAATTTTCCACTTTTTTCTATGTCTTTAATGAAAACTTTTATTTACAGAAGAGGAGGAAGAAACTGAGGAAGCTGGATTGGATGACTGGGAAGCTATGGTCAGTGATGAGGAGAGAGAAAAAGGTGAATAGCTCGTAAGCACTTGTTGATAAATCCAGTGGTTATTAGAGGTGTTTATATTTAAAGGAATAGTTAGTCTCCTGATAATGACTTCTATATGAGCATTCCTGAGGACAGAGAGCAGTTTTGCTCTCTCCGTTGCTATGGTTCCTAAATCCTCATGTGGATCCCATTTCATGAATAGGTGGTTTTTCAGAAGGTCATTTGTAAGATAGTTGCCTGGGAGTTAGAATACAGTTTTTCAGAGTGATAATGTTATAAATGGGGTTAAGTTATTAAAGCTAGCCTATGAAAAGCCTCTTTAACTTAAAATATAATACAAAGACAATAGAAATAATAGTATATTTCCTAATCACTCTGAATAAAAAGTGTCTTTTTGTAATTTCTATCCTTTATTACAAAAATCAACTTTCTTTAGGTTTAATTTGCTGGGTTTTTTCCTTTTTGAGTTGGATATTTGTCTCTTTGTTTTTTCAGTCTTTCACCCCAAATACATATTTTAAAAATTATAAATTTTTCTTTAAGCATGGCTTTAGCACAATTCTGCAGGTTCTGATATGTTGATTTTTTTAAATTTACACTCAGATATATGTTAATTTTACCTATGATTTATTTTTTTTAAATATATTTTACTGATTTTTTACAGAGAGGAGGGAGAGGGATAGCGAGTTAGAAACATCAATGAGAGAGAAACAGATCAGCTGCCTCTTGCACGCCCCCTACTGGGGATGTGCCCGCAACCAAGGCACATGCCCTTGACCAGAATCAAACATGGCACCCTTGAGTCCACAGACTGACCGATGCTCTACCCTCTGAGCCAAACTGGTTAGGGCCCTTTGATTTATTTAGAGGTACATTTCTTAATTTGCATTAGTAAGTACTCTCTAATTATCTTCTTGTTAAGTTATTATGATCAGAAAACATACATGGTTCTGTCCTTTGCAATGGGTTGAGAATTTACAACCCAGCAAATAGTTGATTATTGTAAATGTTTCATATGTGATTGGGTGTGCTTGGTTGTCTTGTTCACTGTGTTTAGTCAAGTTTGCTGATCGTTTTGATTAAGTCTTTTATGTTCTGAGTTTTTCTGGTGTGCTTTTTCTTTTACCAAGTGATGTGTTAAAATCTCCCACCATGATTGCAGATTGTCTATTTTTCCCTGAGTTTTGCCAACTTTTGCTTTCTGTATTTTGGTGTTAACGTTATTAGGTGAATACAGTCTTACATCTTTCTGATGAATCGACTCTTACTGATATATTATTTGTTTATATTATATTTACTTTATACTTTATTTTTATTTATTTTTAGTGATACCTTTAGCCTTTAACATGTACTTTATCTGATTTTAATTAATACAGTTCCACACACTTTGATTTACGTGCTCTTTTCCTGTATTTATTATTCTTTCTGTATCCTTAAAGAGCCTGTAGTTGAGATTTTTATATCCAGTTTGTCAGTCTTTATTTTTTACCTAGTGCACTTAGCATACCTAACATTTGTTGTAATTAATGAAATATATTGGTTTTATACTTATCTCACTAAATCCTTGTTATTTGTTTTGTCTGTTTGTTTTTTCTCTCTTTTCTTCCTGTATTTTGGATTGTTGGATTCTTTTTATTAACATTTTTTCTTCCTTCCATGAGCTGGGATGTTGTGTACTTTTTCATTTACTTTTAGTGTTAACCTAGAGACTTTTAACATGGACCTTTGAACTATCATTGTGTAATGTTACCATCTTCCCAGACGATGCAAAGACCACTGAATACATGAATAACATTTACTCAGTTCTCAATTTATATGTCATTATTCTCATTTGTTTTAATTCTCTATTTTAAACCCCATAATACCATATTTTTTATAGTCAATATTTATTTAAATTTACCTAAATTCTTAGCTTTTTGTTGGGCTTAATTTCTTCCTACATCTCTGACCTTCCATTTGGGGTTATTTCTTCCTGCCAGAAGAACTCCTTTTAGAATTTCCTTTAGTAGGAATCTATTAGTGAGGCATTCCATTTTTGCTTTTCTAAAAATATTTTTTTTTAAATATTTTTCTTCATTCTTAAAGGATATATTTATGAGTGAGGAGTTCTTTGCTAAACTTTTTTTTTTGATATATTGATTTTTTACAGAGAGGAAGGGAGAGGGATAGAGAGTTAGAAACATCCATGAGCGAGAAACATCCATTAGCTGCCTCCTGCACGCCCCCTACTGGGGATGTGCCTGCAGCCAAGGTACATGCCCTTGACCATAATCAAACCTGGGACCTTTGAGCCGCAGGCCGATGCTCTGTCCACTGAGCCAAATCGGTTAGGGCCTTTGCTAAACTTTTATTTATTTAACCCTTTGAAAATATTACTCCCTTGTCTTTAATTATTTCTGTTGAGGATTCAACAAATAAATTTTTCATGTGTCTTTGGTTTTTAGCAGTTTAAATATGATATAACTTGGGTTGATTTTTTCTCATTTATTCTGCCTGTAGAGCTTTATAAATGTATGGTTTTATGTTTTTTATCAGTTTTGCAATGTAATGAGCCATTATTTCCCCTCAGGTAATCTAGTTATGACTAGATAGACCTTGTTACTGTATTCTTGCATTTTATTTTATTCACTTTACTGTATTTTCCATCTTATTAAGTCTCCATGGTTTATTCTAGTTGTTTGCTCATTTTTAAAAATTTTTTTAAATTTTTATTGATTTTAGATAGGGAGGAAGAGAGAAAGAGAAATACTGATTTGTTTTCCACTTATTGATGCATTCATTAGTTGATTCTTTATATGTGTTCTTGACTGGGGATTGAACCCACAACTTTGTCATATCAGGACGATGCTCTAACCAACTGAGCTACTCCACCAGGGTTAGATTATTTCTTCTGATCTGTCTTCTGGTAATAATTTTATTTTTTTAAAAATTTAATCTTATCTTTTGCTCCCTGGATGTTAGAAGCATAGTCATTTTTTAATTTTGGCTTTATGACTTCAGTGGAAGCCCTCTGGGTATGCTGGCTTTCCTCATGTGAATTGTTTTCTCGTGTGGTTTGTTATTTTTATGTGTTTTTATAATATATGTAGATATTATATTTTTAAAAGTATAGAAATAATTTGTGGTCAAGGATTTTTTTTTTCCACCCTCCAAAAAAGAATTTCTTTGTACATTCACCAGGAGTGAACTAGGAATAATAAACACTAGTTAATTATTCCAAATGTAGACTTCAGAGAGCCTAGAAGTGTTCTGCTAAGAATGAGGGGGAGGTTCTGTTTACTTCCTATTCATCCTTACTGCTAAGGTACAGTTTTTCAGGTTTTACCTCACAGTAAGGGTGTTATCTAGTGTTCATCTACCTTGCCCTCCCTGAATCCTTGGTAGGCCTGAATTCCCAATGCTCCTATTCACTGAGGGGCTAGAAAGCACTGCTCAGCCTTTGAGCTGCCTCCTCCAGAATTCCGCACATAAACCCCAGGGGAAGGCAATACCAAGTAACCAACATCCCAGGTTTCTGTCCTCTTGTATCCTGGCTTAGTAATGTCTTTCTTTTTTTTATTTGATTATGTATGAATTAATGCTTTACATGTTCACTGTTAAATGGCAGTCTTCATTGTAGCATATGGGCAAAGACTTATTTGGAATTAAAGATATAATATTGCTGCCTTATTTGTCTTTAAGGTCTCTTATGTTGATGGGAATCTCATTTTTAATTTTTATTATAAAATCTCTTGTTTTTCTGAAAGAAGGAAACACAGTGCATATAGAAGTAAAAGAAAACCCCGAGGAAGAGGAGGAAGAGGAGGAAGAGGATGAAGAAGAAGAAGAAGAGAGTGAAGAGGAAGAAGAAGAAAGTGAAGGCAGTGAAGGTGAAGAAGAGGAAGAAAAGGTGTCAGATGAGAAAGATTCGGTGAAAACATTAGTTAAAAAGCCAAGTAAAGAATTGAGCTCAGAATCTGAATATGACTCTGACGATGATCGAACTAAAGAAGAAAGAGCTTATGACAAAGCAAAACGGAGGATTGAGGTATTTATTGTTCCCTTTTTCTTTGCTCCTTTCCTCCACAGTCCTCCTCTGTGGTCCTTAGAACTGTATTCTACAACAGAGGCTTTTATTTAACAGCACTTTAAAAAATATAGTCACAGAATAGTATTTTGTCCAGTTTCTTGTAAGTCAAGACAATAGATCTGACAGTGTTCCAACCAAGGACCCCAGTCCCTTACCCAAGTCAGAACAGTGACTGCTTCATCATGCTTTTCTTGTGTTCTCAGAATTTGAATGTGTTCTTCGAATGATGGTAGAAACCATCAGTTATGCAAAGCTATTCTGAGCATATGGCCTTTACTTAGAACCATCAGTTAAGTGTGCATTGCATATTTAAGTTAGTCAGTGTGAGGCATCTGATCACATAAGTTTGAATCTGGTGGGTTAATGAGGCTTCTCTTTATTAAGTGCACATACCTAGGAGACTTACTCTATTTTTCCTACTTAATGCAGCAGATTTCAGGAGAGAGTTTTCTTAAATTATGTCAGTTTGGCATAAGCAGCACTCTAAAACTATTTTAATTTGCTTCAAGAGGCTAAGGCTAAAAACCATCTTAGCGTTATCTTTTCATGAATAATTTTAATTAAAAATTTTTTAATACCTTTATGTCGGCGTTTACTGTTCTCTTCTGTGAAGTCTTGATAGGTATACATTTTCTGAATTTCAAAGGACTAAGAAGGAGTATTATTGTAAATTGGGCTTTGTTAACCCTGGTGCTATTGACATTTTGGGGTCAGGTAATTTTTATATATATATTTCATATATTTTTTTAATTTTTATATATTATCTATATATTATCAT